CAGTTCTGCTTCTGATCCACTGCGCACGTCCCTGACTGCACACAGGATCGTCTTGAAGGACGACACGCCGGTTTACGTACCGCCCAGGAGGATGTCGCCGCCAGCAGCAGAGGAAATCGAGCGCCAGTGCCTGGATCTGGAGCGTCTGGGCATCATAGAGAGATGCGACTCTGCGTGGTCGGCGCCCGTTGTGCCAGTACGAAAGAAGGACGGATCTCTACGGCTATGTATTGACTACCGTCGACTCAACAAGCAGACGGTGGCCACCCGCTTCCCGATGGCCGACGTCACGGACTCAGTGTACAGCGCCCACGGCATGAAGTTCTTCACCACGCTGGACCTGGCCAAGGGCTACTACCAAGTGCCCTTGGAGGAGTCATCAAAGGACTACACCGCCTTCTCGACAGCACGGCAGCACTGGAGGTTCCGCAGGTTACCGTTCGGCTTGAAGAATGCTCCAGCAGCATTCCAGCGAGAGATGCAGACGGTGCTGCAGGGGTTCTCCAGGCGAAACCTCGTCATCTACTTGGACGACCTGCTCCTGATGGAGAAGAACTTTGAGAAGCATCTTCAGCTCGTGGACGACGTGCTCCTGGCACTCGAGTCGCAGGGCATCAAGCTGAATGCCAAGAAGTGTGTCTGGTTCCAGCCAGAAGTACCCTTCCTCGGCCACGTCATCAGTGAGCGAGGTCTGCGTAGATCACCAGAATACATCAAGAAGGTGCGCAGTCTGCCACGCCCTCAGACCGTGAAGCAGCTCCGACAGTTCCTGGGGGTGATCAACTTCCAGAGGAAGTTCGTGCGCCACTGTTCCAGCATCAGCAAGCCCCTGACGGACCTGACAGGCCAGCCAGGCCCCACAGTCATTACGTGGACGGACCAGATGACTGACGCCTTCGAGAAACTGAAGCAGGTAATGGAGGAGGAAGTCACGCTGGCCTTCCCCGACTACACAGAGGACGCGCAGCCTCTCACTCTTTGGACAGACGCGTCTCAGGTTGGGGCGGGGGCCTGTCTGACTCAGGAACAAGACGGAGAAACTCGTCACATCGGGTTTGCCTCAATGACCTTCTCTCGCTCACAGCAGAATTACTCAGTCACCGAACTGGAACTCGCAGCTCTCCGTTGGGGTGTCGTCAAGGCCTTCAAGCCATTCCTCGGTGGCGTGTCATTTAGAGTCTGCACGGATCACCAGGCACTGGTGTACATGCACAGCATGCATCTTGTCAACAGTCGGATCGCCAGGACGATGGAGGAGCTCTCGGAGTTCGACTTCACGATCTGCTATGTGCCAGGGTCATCCAACATCGCCGCAGATATGTTCTCTCGTGCTCACCCACTGCCGATGGAGCTCCCGGCTGTCTGTCGCCAGTTGCCAGTTGGTCTGGATCTGTACTACAGAGCTGAGGGAGGAGGTGATGCACTGATCGACTGCCTGTGCCACTGGATGGAGGAGAATGACCGCCGGCCTGCACAGAACCACCTGCTCCGAGAACTGCTGGTGGGCGAAGTGATGAAAGCACCGGGCAGGTTCAAGATGAAGTTGGATCGACGCGCACGACAAACACTCAAAAGCATGAAGGTCCCAGGTCAGCCGTTGTCTGTTGAGATGGTGGCGGTGTTCGCTACTCTGATGAGGGTACGGGTCATCGTCCACTTCGGTGGCCATCATCCCATGATCTTCACCGGTCCAGACGGGGAGGAAGTGGCTGGTCAAGCTCTTCATCTCCAGTGTCTGGGAGGAGTCCACTTCAACTTGCTGAAGGAGAACAAGAACTTCCAGACACAGAACACCGTCCTCGTGGCTCACATCCAAGAACAGGTGAGATCACAAATGATGTGTAGAGTCAAACTGCCAGAACGTGTCACAATGTGTGCGACTGAAGAGGGTGGTTCGCCTGAGGACGGTCTGCTTGTACACCCTCTCTGTGATCATCAGTCCAGCGCTTCATGCGCTGCGACCGTATACGTGAATGACAGACCAGTCTGTGCCCTTCTCGACAGCGGAGCAGCTGTGTCCATGGTCAGCCGCGCAGCGTTGGAGCTGATCGGCACCAGGGAGGCGGATGTGATTCCCAGCGCTGTATCAGTTCGAGGCATCGGAGGACTCACCAACTGCACCGGCTATCTCGAAGCAGACGTGGCCTTACCTGGGGACGGGGACCCACAAACGGTACGTCTGCTGATTGATTCAGATAACTCGTTCGGCCACTGTGTGTTGCTGGGTGCAAACTTCCTTACGTCTGCTTGTGTCGAGTTGGATTTTGGAAGGCGGCTGATAAGCAGTGTTTATGGGGAGCACGCCATGAGCGGTCACTGTGCTTTCAAGAACACTGCAACCGGTCTGACTCTGGTGACGTCCTCGCAGGAATGCAGTGACGCTGAAGACGTTCTTCTGCCTGACAGCCGAGAGCGAATCCCAGACATCGCCTCTGTCCGAGAACACCAACACCAGGATCGTCTTCTTCATGAGCTCACTAGCCATGTTCGGCAGAAGCTGACAGAACAAGAATTGCCCAGAGAACTGGAACATTTCGGTAAGCATCTCAATGATCTGTTTGTCAGCAATGACTTGTTGATGTACCGTCACAGCAAGTATGGGGACCTACCTGTCATTTCCAAGCTCTGGCTGGCGGAACTTGTAACCGCAGCTCACCAGGGGATGGCTCACATTGGCAGGGACAAGTTGTTCGATCTGATCGCCAGCCAGGTGTTCTGTCCAGGATTGAACAAGGTTGTAGCCGATGTTGCCCGAAGTTGCCGTCAATGTCAGCTGTATAAATCGTCCCCTCAGAGGATCGCTGCACCTGTTCAGCGCCTTCAGAGTCGAGCACCTTTTGAGCTGGCTGCTGCTGATCTTGTGATGTTCCCTCGCACCCCACGTGGCTTCATTGGATGTCTTGTGGTTGTAGATCACTTCTCCAAGTGGGCGGTGGCGGTACCAGTAAGGAGGAAGACGTCTGCTGCGGTTGCAGTCGCCCTGGAACAGCGAGTCCTGCCAGTTCTTCTGCGCAGGCCTGCGCGACTTCTGACGGACAATGGTGGCGAGTTCGTGGGTCCGGAGCTTCAAGAGGTGCTGAGGAGGTGGGGGATCCAGCAGACATTCTCTACACCCTACAGACCGCAGGGCAACGGAGCTGTCGAGCGGCTGAACCGCACCCTGAGTCAGGAGCTTCGCATGTTGTCTGCCGACAAGCCTGGAGACTGGGACCTACATCTTCCGAAGGCCATGGCGACCTACAACGGGACCAGCCACTCTCAGCTTGGTGACTCTCCAGCAGATTTTCTGCTGAAGCAGAAGCACGGTGGCGTCAGCGTTCCGCTGGTATCGGTGGAGCGACAGAGCTGCTGGCGGCCTGGAAACCCGAGCTTCGCGCCATTCGAAGTGGGCCAGCTGGTTAAGCGGGAAACGCAGCGACCTGGTAACCTGCTGACTGGCAAGTTCGAGCAGCGATTCGACGGTCCCTTCAAGGTGAAGTCTCGGAACAGCAATGACGTCACCTACACTCTGGAGAGGGACACCGGAGCCGAGCTGAGGGCGCATCACACGCAGCTTCGCCCGTGGATAACTGCACCGTCCTACCTGCGCCGGCTCGAGGAGGTGCGAGAAGATGGAGAGGGCAGAGGCTGCAGCATGCACCCTCCTCTACCGGCCGGTGGGGTGCTGACTTCTGTTGGCTCAGCGGGCGAGCGGCGTCTTCCAGGCATCTTGAAGAACACTCGTCGGGCCCAGGATCGGTCCCAGCAAACGACGCCTCCTCGTGTGAGCAGCAGTGCCCAACAGACGACGCCTCCTCCTCGTGTGAGCAGCAGTGCCCAACAGACGACGCCTCCTCCCAAGAACGACGGCGCTCAGCTGGCTGTCTCCCGCCCACCGGCTAGCGCTCCTCAACAGAGGACTCGCGCGACCTCAGCGGCTAAGCGGACTGTGAGGTTTGATGACGTGGGCCGGGAGATACCCAGGCGGTCGGGCCGTGTCAGAGAAGCGCCAGATAGGTGGGGCTATAGTTAGAATGTCGTGTGTGATTCTTCTTGTTTTTGTTTTGTTGTTTTCCTTGTGCTGCCGGCAGTAGCCGACCCAGCTGATCCAGCTGCTGCTACCTCCCTCTGACGTGCTCTTCGACTGGTTGTCGAGCACGCGCCTGTTGGTTTCTCCGCGTGCGCGGTGGACGTGACGCGTCACCCCACCGTATAATCGATGAAGCAGACGACCGCCTTCATCGTCACGGTGGCCGAGCTCGTCCTCAAGTTGTGTTGTGTTTTGGTATATGGCATAGGCGTTTTGTATCAGCGTGAGCGTAATGACGTGTTGGAAGAGGTTATGTGAATTGGCGCTGTTATGCTGTTATAACGGTGATTCTTGTGTTTTGGTCATAGCGGTGATCCTTGTGTTTTGATGTGGGCGAGATGCTAAAGGGGGGAGATGTGGACGTGTGGTATTGGAATTTGCATCTCGCTTGTGTGCTCGGGTGGCCGGCCGCGAGCTGGCGGCGCCTCGGCTCGCCGGGCGGCCGGCCTGCCCTGGGGCGGTGCGGGCCGCTCGGCGGGTCGGGCGGCGGGCGGCGCGGGGAGTCGGTTGCGGGGCTCGGTGGAAGGTGGACGGTGAATACAGGCGTGGAACGGCTACATGTTTTGACGGTGAATGAAGACGGCGAACGGCTACAACACCGGGATCTTTGAACGTTTATCAGGGCCACAACGCTAACCGTGAAAGCAATAAAACGAGGGAACTGAAAAGTGTAGAAACAAAGATATCAAATAAAAACTACCAGACGGGAAACCTGAGTACCCACTGATTGCATCATCAGCGAAGTACATACCTAACTATTCTACATACACGAAGAACTGAAAAGATCAAGCGAAATCAACTGAAGTCGAATTAAAATGGTGAGGTTAACGTACGGATATTGGTACTGGTCTATTGGAACACAACACAAGGATTTGAATGCCTACTTATGCAAAGATATTTATCATTAAAACCTTGCATTCAATGCACCCACCTGCGGTCGTATTTTCCATCGGCGGGTGCCCCCGAAAGGCACAGTGACCGAGGTCCAGGAGGTCCTCAGGGTGCTCAGCGTCCCCGCACCGGAGGACGAGGCTGCACCACTGCCGTCCGTGTCACCCGCCGAGCCGGGCTGGCTCCGCAGCTCTTCCAGCTGCGCAGAGGCTCTGTGCCGGTGCAGAGAGGGCTGCCTAGTGTGTCCGGGCACTCCCGGACTGCTGGGGCCCTCCACATGCGCTCCGCCCGGACCCGGGGTGCTCGGCCTGGACAGGGTCACGTGTGGGGTCAAGGTCACGGCGCCGTTCAGCTCGAACTGAGGCTGCGGCAGGTGGATTCCCCGCCGTGAGACGTCGTGAGTGGACAGGTCGGGTACAGAGCGCCCCGCGGACAGCGAACGGCACTCGGAGGCGGACACGTCTAGACGGTTGATGTCGTGGATCGAGAGCCGCGAGCTCGTTCGACGAGACCGGTCGCTTGTAGGAGCGACGGAAGAAGCCTTCCCTGAGGTGCCTTCGGCGGGCTGCTCGTCGTCGCCATTGCTGAGGATGTTCCCGTGAGAGCGGGTGCTGCGTATGCTGCGCTTACTGCGCGCGCTGCGAGTGCTGGCCTTGCCTTCGCGAGGCTGCCGATTCAGGCTGCGCGCGCGCCGGCTGTTGGCCGCCTCCACGTCCCCTAGCCGGCGCAGGTCCTGCAGCACGGCCCAGTCGGCGAGCTTGGCGCTCATGTCGCGCCACCAATGTCGACCGCGGCGCAGCACATCCCGCGCACCCTGCAGCGGCCGCCAGACACTGCCGCCTACCTCACCAGACGGAGGAACGTCGCCACGAGTCGTCACTGTCGGAAACGCCTGAGGCGGAAGAGGCGCAACGACACTCTCCAATGTCACTGGCGAGACCACAACACTGTCGGAGTTCCTCTCGCGGGAGGATGTCGCACTGTCGATCGACACACTCTCGAGCCGGACGGACTCGCTGTCCCCGCGCAGGTCGCGCTCACTATTACTCGGAGCCAGGTCAGTCCTCACGCTACCCTGGCTGAGGTCGTTCCCATACCGAGGCACTGCCGACGGGTCCCTGTTTCTCAGGATTGACTGTGGCTGAGGCACGGCGCCCCGGCTCCTCAGGATGGACGTGGGTCGGAGCGGTGCTCCGTGCGGCTCTGGACCGCTGACTGCAGTCTCCATCTGGTCGGGCCGCCAGCACTGGGTCAGCCGTGCCAACTAGGCGCCAGATGGCCCACCGGACGCCGGTCACAACGGTGCTGGCCGCAGCCGCACTGGGCCGCACCGCTGTCCGCCGCGGCCGCTGCACTGCGCCACGAGCGCCACAGACGCGGCGCCGCGCCGGTTTCGCCGCTGGTCACGGTGGTGCGCACGAGCCGGCAAGCTATTACCGCCACCCGTCACTGAGCTAGTGTGTCAGCGCTGCCACCCCACCGCCGCGCCGCAGGCACCGCCGCCGAGCCGCCGCTGGTGCTTTCTCTACTCTCGGCCACGGAAGGCACCTGTCTTCAATGTATCGTTTTAATGGGTGATATCTATGGCTGAATTCAATCCATAGAATGTGGCTTAGAAAGAAGTTCTTAGCGAATGGGCTGTAAGAGAATCTTTTTATCGCATATCTTTAAAAAAATGGTGTCCTTATTTCTTGTAAGAATTTCCGTAAGCCCATCACTAAACTAGAGCACTTCACGGATAGGCTTTTCAGGATCCGGCCCGGCCCATATCCGGCAAGTCATATCCAGATCCGCCCATTATCCGTGTTTCTTTGAATTTCAAAATCCGGCCCGCCCATGGCCCGTATCTCAGCCATGCATCCAAAAAATATCCATAATAATCCGTTTCATTACAAACCGGTTGTGAGACTATCAGCATATCGCCATAAGATCCAAACGTTGGACACTAGGAAGCTATCAAATTGTAATAACAGCAATCTTAGCCACTGCAAAATACATTTTGTGGTAAAAGCTGCATTGCTAAGGATAGGGGTAACACATTGACATGGACCTCAGCATTTCACAAGGTTGGCTATCATTAGAATTGTTAAGAATCTACTGTGGTCTATAAAAGGAAGAGTCCTTATTCATACAGCAAAACCACAATCAATTAGTAAGTCAAATGGTAGGTAATAATAAGTATAATACAATGAATAAATAAAGTTTCATGACATTGGCAACATTCTATATGGGAAAAGGCAGAATCAAAACACCTCAAAACACATTGTTTGGAAACTAGCCTTGGAATGTGGTCTGACACACTCTACAAAGAATTTGACACTGAAAACCCAGCTGAAAAGGTAGGTATTAAATAGCCTTGAGCCTGACTTTGGTCCTAAAATGAAAGGAAGATAAGTCAAACCGGCATTTTGTCGTATCAACAAGACGACACAACACAATACACAGACAAAATTGACGATAGTGGCGCAAAAAAACAAGCAAGGATTGATTTTTTTTAAGATCCGCTCTCTCTTTATGAAATAGGCGAGCTGATGACGTAATATTGATTCGTTTACCCTTTAAGTTGAATTTCTGATCAGAAAATATTTTTTGGCGTCATTTACGCTGAAAATGTTGATAACATTAGAATTTAATATCGTCTTGGATCGTTTTTATTTCTAAAAAAAAAATCATCGACGAGGCATTGCGCCAAGTTTAAAACTTTTTTTGCAGCGTTTTATTCAGCTGGTTAAAAGCATCTGTTATTGCGCATGTGTTTCTAACCTTGCGCAGTGTTTGTTGCTGTCTGGAAGATTGAAAAATTCGAGAACGCATTATCGTTTTTGTACATATTATATGGGGACTGTTCTCAGGACATGTGAGTTACTAACACATTTTTTTACATGATTCGTATCTTATTCAGGAACCAGCGAGCCATGGTGGATATGATGCCATGGCGGTTGTTCTCGCTTCCTCGGTTAGGAACATGGCTGAGTCTGCAGATTTTATGTTGTGACCATCTATATTTAAAAATTTGGTTGGTGCTGCCATATACCTTACAGACTATCATGGCTCACAAAGGTATGCTTATAAATCTCATGTAAATCAATTATACTTCTGCTGCAGTGCCTAACAAGTTAAGTTACCTAATTCTTAACATGAATATTGAATGCTACAATTTTATCCGTTCTGATCCGTGTTCAACATTCAATTCCCAAATCCGGCCCGCCCAGATCCGTTCTATTTTTCCAAATTTGGGATCCAATCCTATCCGGTCCACGGATTTATCCGTGGATAACGGATTTATCCGGCCCATGAAGTGCTCTACACTAAACCCATGTTTCCCCCGTTCTTCCCCCTGGAGGTCGGCGGACTTCTATCAAGCTCTTGAGCAAACGAAGACATTCACATGGCCACTTAGCGCACACAGCCTCATTGTTAAGCAGTGATTATCTGTCCGTACGGCTATTGTCACTGTTCTGTTTGAAGCAGGTATCTGTCATCGTGACATTACTCCGCGGCTGATACATACTGTCGTACTGTCCAGTACCCTGTACCCACGCCGTTATTCTTTGAAGGCAAAGTCCTCCGTATGATCCGTATGGAACTAGTAACTCTCGGGTGTGAATTGCATCATGTATCTTTGTTTGGAACCCATTTATTCCCAGCAATGAGCTTGCAGAATAGCCTCTGCAGACTGCGCGCCCGCACATTAAGCCTCTAATTCATCGTCATTCAAATGGTTGATGGTTATATACGGACCCGGAAATAACACCGAACCGAGATATACCTACACTTACATACGAAGCAGTAGACAGGGCCAAGAATAACCGTAGTCGTTTCGGACTCGACACAGGATTTATTCATCCCAAGCCAGCCATTATTATCTCATTGCCATGCTCGTCCGGCGGCAGCCGGACTTCATCAGAAGCTATCGTTCGTCTCAGGTCCACCCAAGACCTGCACAGGTCCCGGTAACCAGCCAAACTCGCCCCATTCCCGGGCCCGGCACCGGCCTCGTTTGTAACCATCTACTCCCTAATGAGGCCGCCCAGCCACTGACTTCAGCCACCACCACCGGCCAGAGGTAAAGGAATTCTCACAACACGAGACTGCACTCATTTGAAGTTGCTCTGGACTTCGCCATGTGGCATGGCACGGTTCAGAGTCAGACAAAGGTTTTGAATGTTGTACGCTTCCTGGCGGAAGTCTCATCGTTTCACTACAGTGGCCGCTTACGTGCATACGAGAGTGGGTAGATGGGCACCTCGTGACTGGCAGGTTCGTGTGTTGTTGGCCCATATAAGAATCAGGGTTGATCTGGGCGTGCGCAACAGAGCGGAATGCTGCAAGGGTTGTTGGCGGCGTGATGTAGTATGATGGAATAACGAGATTGACGACATCTCTTAATTTTTGACGCAACCCTACAAATATCGCTGCTGTTTGTGAGTAACAGTTTACGATGTAAATACGCATATTATCAATGTTTGTTGATTTTCATGAGTTAATCGCTACTTGCATATTCTACACTGTAAAAAATATTGACGAGCTATGTGTCAAAACAAGGGTCTCGAAACAGTCACCAGGTTGTCAATGCTTCCGGTACCTACCACTTGACTAGTTACCGCTTAGTTAGCTTACAGGCTGAGAACTATCCAGATCGTTATGATCCGGTATTGTAATGATACCCTAGGTGTACCTTTGTTTTGAAGTGCTGAATTAACTATCAAGGTTGTTTGACGTTTGTTTTCGCCTCAATCCGAAACGAGGAAGACCCTCATCAAATTATTAGGTGAAAGCCAGCCTCAGGATGATCAAAATACTAGGGGTAGTTTTGTCATAGTAATCTGTGAAGGTTGAGGAACAAGCCGTAGCAATGCACTCGTCACTAAACCAGCCTGAGATTATTCGCCAGGTAGCGGCTGCGTTTCCCTACTTGCTGAATCATGTTAGTAACTTTCCATTTCCAGACACTTTTTACGGCAAATAAATTGTTGGGTTATTTGGAAGGTGAATGACAATTTTATTTCTATAAGCCAATACATTTGTATTTCCGATTGCCCTAAAACTTTTTTTTAATCGTTTGCGGTAGGTTTTTATTGTTCGCAATAAAGTTGCGCACCTGTGAATCCTTCACTTAATGCGTTCCCGGCTTCCCGGCGCCAGCTGTTGCGCTGTGCCGTGCCGCGTTCGGTCGGGGGTGCGCGAGTCTGTGCAGTGCGAGTGTTTATCACTGGGCAAACCTGTATCGTTTCCATTTGTGCAGTGTCTAGTTATGAAGAATTGCTTGCCGATATATGACCTGCAGTGATCGACGTTCTGATTCAATAACTTGCCATAAGCCATTATTCTCAACCAAATCGCGCAGAGACGTTTGCAAAGTTGTCGAGGGGGGGGGGGGGCGAAACAAGAGCGATTTTAAATGAATTGCTCTCCATGCAGTGCAATAGGACTTATAGGTTTAATTTTTCGAAAGTTGTGGAGCCGCCCCCGGTGTCCGGCCTGGCCAACTCTCTCAAGAACCGACAGCTAACGGAACACTGAAGTTTCACTACGACGATTTCCGCCAAAGTTATGAAGAAAGGGCAAGTGCAAGAAGTACAAAACTTCTCTTGGTAATCAAAACTTAGGTTTGGCAAATTCCAAACCCTAAGTCACTACAACTGTGGATATAAATAAGCTGGTTATTGACGGCCAAGCTCTGGCCAATCTGAGTTTCAGACCTATCATCAAGTTCATGAGGCAGCTGCGGTTGGGCGGCTCACGGGCTCCACTGCATAGGCTCAGACAGGTACTCTACAAAATGTCGTCTGTGTTCTTAGGTTCAGATCTATCGATAGGTATGTGCATGCTTCTGATTCGATTGATAACTGTAAACGGGCGCTGGAAGTGAAAGATTCGCTTGATATACGAAATGTGCATTGCAAGAAAGCATATTATTTCAGAAATACACTTTCATTTTATCTTGAGCGTTTTTGGAATGGGCCGGATGAATTCGTCATCAAACTGGTAAGGGATTTCGTTTGAAGACCACCGATATTTAATAATATGATGGTCTTCAAACGAATTCGCTGGCAAATTCGATGACTGGATTGGGCGGCGTAGGATCTGCTGGTCATCTGACTATGGGTTGAGCAATACGTTAGTTTTGACCTAGTTTGAGCTTCATTCGTTAAGTAGGAACAAGACGATGCTTCTTTTGAGCATCGTCACTAAACAAGCCGCCCTCGTTTTGACATTGTTTTTCGTTATTATTGTTACTAGGTACTTTGTTATCATACACAGCATTAACGAGGACCTGCTTCCAAAACAAGGCAGAAACGCTCCAGCTATTTTTGGGACGTGGTAAAAACTAA